AATAGGGAGGTATTTTAGTGCACTGCACGCGCTTACTGCATACACTTGCAGTGCGGAGACGATGCACCTGCGTCTCCTCCTTTTCTTTACATAAACACGAGGTTTTATATAAAACAACCGTTCACGATAACAAAGTTAGATATTTTTTTTGCTTCATCATTCGTATGTATATCATTATATTGTATGTAGCATGTACACGTTTCCTCCTCGTGCGTGTCCGCTTCGCCGCCTCGTGCGAGCAGATTTTTTGCACTCCGCATCGCCGTTCAAGGATTCATTCCGCTAATTGTGACGAATACCTTTCTGCGTTACGCAATTATTTATATGAAAAGATAACCCGACTAGCAAGGAATACCCGCCGAACCGAAAATTAAGAGACTTAGTCAAAGTTATTCAATCAACGTAAATTTTACCGAATTATTCTCACGTCGCCACCGGATTGCTCGAAAGACGTGGAACTTCTACTTCAGTCGTTTCGTTGAATCTTATAACATTTAGCAGTGTCGTTAAATTGTACAAAAAATGCATCCTCGTCGGGAAGGTGGAATTTTGCAGAAATGAAGCGGTATTCGATTTTCGTCTTAGACCAGTCCATCGGTCTGCTCGTTTTCGTCAAAATTCGAGATTCTCCGACTGGAAAGAGTTCTTCCGAGACTTCCGTTTGTCTTCCATTCTTTTTTTTTTTTCATCGACGCAACACTTCCTGTTCGATTTGAGATCCTCGATTTTCTTCCGGTGACCTTTTTCCGACGAGTTTTGATTCGACTCGAAGCGGATCGTTGCGAGAATTTATTTGCTATTTTGATTGGCGTTTCACTACGTTATGTATATATGTATATATTTATATGTATAATTATGTATATCCTGAATGGCGCGTCGCGCATGCGTTACTTACGTACCCTAGTCAACATTAATCCTCAGTAATTTAATCAGAACACTTGGATTTTATTCGAATTTATGTTTTCCCTCGCTCGAACGATATTTCGATTTATATTTTGGTTAGCTTATCGCCACGGCATTTAATTATTAAGTGATTGGTACTGGAACACGTTAGACGTAGCGAGAATTTCTTGCCCACACCCGGCACTGGATTGGCGGCAGTGGTCTCGTCTCTTTGCTTCCCCCTTTTGTTTTCTAAAACAAAGACTTTTGCTCCACCGATGGGCTGCTCGATCGGGCGAGTTTCGCCGAACTCTCCGATCTCGGACACGTAACTTCGATCCTTTGATCGAGGCAATTTGGCGAAACTTCGGTATTTAGATTTATGATGTCGTTGCAAGTGTACCGAGAATGGTCTGTCGGTCTAGTTTACTGCACGGTGTAATTAAGTGCACCACCTTCGCGGGTAGACGGTGTAACGTTCAACAGGGTGCGTCAGACAAAGCATTTAGTAACGAGATATCTTTCCAAAATTACCGAGTGCTCCTGGCTGGCGCGTTGCGTGCAAAAGTTAGTCAACAATCCTCCGACCGTGGCAACTTAATCGTTAGTTTAATCGGTAAACTACATTGTTCTATCTCCGTCGAATTAACGAGGTGTCGATGTCGAGCTGGAATCGCGTGACGCATCGATCGGTAGAACGTCGTTGCTCTTATCAAAGAAACGTCTCCTAGCTATTCGGCGATTAGTAAAATACTCTGGTCGTCGATCGTCTCCCCGAGAAAATAACTAGTCTTGTAAAGAGTTGCAAAATAGAGGTATGTAGTTTACGTCTTAAAGCTATCGATTATAGTAAATTGGTATTGCGTTAATATCGACCCCTCTTGGGCGAAATTTCTCGCCAGATTTTGAGTCCTCGGAGCGCGAGGCTCCTTCCAAGGGATGCAAATCGCTCGTCTTGCGAGAAACTTATAAGCCCTGCGAAGACCAAACTCATCGGGAGGTAGCACCAAGGAGAGCAATCCCTGGATACCTCGAAAAGTGATTTTCATTTTTCGCCCGGAAGCGCGGAGGGTGGGGCCGCAATTTTCGAAATCGCACACGTCGATCGGAGCCCAAGTCTATATCGAAAGTCGTAGGACATGCCCGACAATTAACCGGTCTCATTCCGTCACCGTATGTCGTTGCGGTGACGGATAGCTACCCATCCGAGGTAGTCTGACCCACTGACTTTGTTCCACGGTAAATTCAGCGTATACGTTTCCGAGGGAAGGGAAAAAGTAGGGTACCAAAACGTGCTATTAACGCGACAATAAAACGCCCTTTACGGGGGCAGTGATTCACGCAACAGACAGCGAAACATCGTTTGGTTAAATAGATAAAACTCCTTACTGCCAATTTAACCACCGGTGCGTAAGCTCATAAAAACACTATCAAGCTCTGTCGTTTTAATGGAAAAATGATAAAGCGCGAGGTACCGGGGGAGGGCGGCGGCGGCGTAAAGGCCGTTTCCATTCCGACGATCCGCAGGACGAAACTGGGGAAAACAGGAAAACTCAACTACTCCGAATGTGCCGAATGGGAATTATACGATTCTTTCCAGGGAGAGTTCTCGTGCAAGTTTAGCCGTTTATGAGCTGTGTAAGGGAAACGGGTAAATAAGTAAACCGTCGTTACGACGCCGTCAGATCGGGAGAAGTAGGTCTCCGATCAATTGACATTGTTCGGTCCCTCTGAGTTTGCATACCGGGAGCGTGCTCCGACATCGCGCAGCAATATACGAGATCGCCGATATATGTATCGATGGGTCCATACGCGGCCAGGTGCTTGGACAATTTACATCGGATCGTTACATGCGTGAACAAAGGCGAGCACTGGTACGAGCCGTCGAGAACAGGCACGCCGGGCTCGTCTTGAACTTCTACATGGAGGCGGGATGTGCCACTCGATGGTCCAGATTGGAACCGATCGATCGATACAGGAAGGCTTCTTCGATCGGGCATACCAGCTAGTTAACGCGAGGTCTTGCCCCTACTCGAGGGTCGTATCTCGAATTAGCCTGTGCGACTTCGAAAATTTAGGCAGGACTCGCTACTCCGTCACCTTTTAAGGTATCCCGAGGCTGACTTTCGGGAGAAAAGATCCGACACTTCGCACCCTCGTTAATTCCTCGTTGATTCCACTCGGGGTCCCGGCAGGAAGAGAGTCCCTAGGTTGTCCAGAAAATTCTTGCAATTTTTTGTGAGTAAAACATGACGCTTCCTTTTTAAATAAACCTCATTTTCCTACGTGTCCGTGTTCTATGCCAATTCAAAGCTCTGACTTCGATCTCAATTTTGAAAACAATCACAGGGTCTTAATTATTAATTTCTGAATTATTTTGACTATTTAATTGGAGACGGAAGAGAAGAAAATTTGGGGGTTTCTCTTATACGAGCTCAAAATGGGCCGAAAGTAGGTTTCAATGCGGACGTGAATGAAAAGCAACCGTATCTGAAAAGAAAGCGTCAAATCTTGAGTAGAAAATACCGCAATAACGTTCTCGACCTGACAGGTTGGACCGAGATCGGGCAATGTCGAGTTTGCTGCCTCGGTCGTCGAACAGGGGAACGTTTGATCTGGACCAGGACTCGCGAATTCGACGAAGCGCGTTTCTTACACCTAGCTGGTGCCCCCTTGTCGCGCTACATTGACGACTCGCGCGAGTAAGGATTTCCAGTCCCTGACTCGAGGTCCTCTTCGTTGCTCCTTGCACCCGATTCGGGGGTCTTCGGAGCCCCCTCCTCGCGACCACCACAGGATCTCCTTCTGGCATCGTCACTGGTGCAAAGCAAAGAGGATGCAACGACGACCTAATCTAGAGTACGCAGGTCCGCACGCGGTCCAGAGGTGGATCTGGCAGTTTTGTTGATCGGTCGTTAAACGTCGTCTTGTTTTTCGTACGGCCTCGAGGAGTGACGTCCGTCGTCGAGGGAATCCACTTTGGGTTCCACATCGAAGTCGTCGACTCGTCGACGAACGGCTGACGACATCTCGCAGCGACTTCCTCGAGTGCGCCTCCTGGTGTCGTGGTCCAGAGTCGATGGGCAAGATCCGTCCCGACGAACGCAGCGAACCGACGGTTTCGAGGCGACGAGGAAACGCATCCATGAACGCGAGACGAAGTCGACGACGTCTTCGGCGAGGTGGCAGACCCCGAAGGGAGAGGAGGCGTCGGCGTCGCTCTCCTCGATCTCCGGTCGAGGAGAGTCCTCCGAGGTCCTTCCCGAGGACGATGGAGCTCGTCCTCGAGCGCGCCAATTGCAACCGGGCCCCTTTCGTCCGTGATCTCGGGGTCCGGCTTCAGGCCGGGTGTGCTCGATTCGGAATTCTCGTCCGACTCTCCGCTGCCTCGTCCCGGCGCGGGTCCCTTTCTGCGGAATAATAAATAAGCGGATGTACTACCGCGCGGCGACTCTTCCCCGATAAGGACACGCCCGTGATACCGTTATTAATAGGACAGGTCGCTTCTCGTCGATTATAATACCACGGGCGACGGTGCAGGACTCTTTTTTACTCGACCTCAGCCTCGTATCGATTGCGCCGACCAAAGTTAAAATTAACCTCAGATTAACTCAGGGACCCCAAATGTTGAGCGGCCGGTCCGCTCCGTAGTCAATCGGGGAATGATTTCAACTTTCCTCCGGCTAGGTCCTCGGTTTAACTTCGAAATTTGGAGGGAACTAACCCCGCGAGTTGGCCCGGCCTCCGGGGAACTTTGATTGGAAGTGCGTTACACGAGCGCGGCGAGAACGAGTACGCTCGGGGCTGAAGGGAAGGCACATTCCCGCGAGCCTCCGTAAGCCTTGCATCTAATTCGGCTAAGCCGCTGGAATCGGGCTTCGCGGATTCGCGTGTACACTAATTCTGGTTAGCTTCTACGAGAACCGACTTTCGGAGCGATTTATGCCTGGAACTTGGTCCGATCGTTCCCTATATCTGTACGATTCGCAGTTTTCGGGCTTCCAACGAGTAATCCATTTCGCGGGTTCCTCGTTTTCTCTGGATTTACCTGGACTCGGGAAGAGGCAGAGGCGGCGTCTTCTTCGAAACTTGGCTCTGACCCTGGCCTGGGCAGTCTACTACTGGACGATAACGTGAGGCGCCGACAGCAAGACCGCTACTGTGGCGATCAGCGTGAACAGCGAGAAGACGTACAGGCAGAACCTGCAACGGTGGAAGGAAACGGTGAATCGGTCGAGCCTGAAACGATTTTGGGAAACGGGCTGGACTTCAAGGGTACCTGTCGACTGCCATGGCAGCGAACTTCCAGTCGCTGATGACCTCGGCCTCCGAGTCGGCCTTCTTCATGCGATTCGTGATGAACTGCAATTCCTTCAGGATCGTGTGCAGTTCCCTTTGCGTGCCGCTGAGGGGGAGCGACGCCGACGTCTCTTCCACGGTCGACGGCCTTGCCGTGAGTGGTGTACCGAAGGTTGACCTGGGATTGAGGAAGCATGAATCGAACCATCCTCGTGGACGAAGAGAGAGAAAAAGAGACGCCGTATCTCCTGAGATATGACTCAGCGGACGTGGCGGGTCTTTTTGTCTTCACTTTCCTCGCGTGCAGAGAATTCGGCGCCGGTATGGCCAAGAAACAAATGCGTTTACCGCGTGTTGTACACCGTGGGAGGGTTCGCGGCGTTGTTCCCATGGCAGAAGTCATCGTTGATGTCGAGTACGTTGGCCAGCAGACTCTTGCTACTCCTCTCCTGGAGCTCCAGCTCTTTCATGCGATTATTCATCAGGATGGTCTTCCTGCTGATCTTTTTCCCCGGGCGATTCATGCGCAGGATCCAGGGCAGCCATTGCAGGAGGACAGTTTTCGCCTGGATCACAGGGGAAATGTTAGCGTTGCGTTTCAATTTAGACCCTTTCGCGCCATTAAACCCCCTTTTCCTTGCTCTCCTGAGCTCGAGGCGAACGTGCTTTCGCCGTGTCCCGTCGGTACGCAACGCTACCACCGGAAGCTCTAACAGCTCCTCGAACATGGTGAAGAGTCACATGCCACACTATCATGTCGGGCTAGAACACATTTTCAGCATGCTGCAAGCCACCTTTTCTACGCGCTCCGACGCGACGAGTGTCGCCACGAATGGAAAGTCCGATTTCGACCGGTTGGTCCGTGGAAGGAGGGTGACGAACGTCACACCTGAAGACAGGTGAACGCGCGGTAGACGTACCGCACGAAAGGGCGCGATCTCGTGACGGAACGGTATCGTTCGCCTGTCGGATCGAGGGGAACTAGGATCCCGCCGAAAAAGGCGAATCGCGGACAAACGACCTGTCGAGGAAACGAGCTCGTCTCTGGTTTCGTCGCCTAGGTCGAGTCGTTCCTCGCCGCGAAGTTGGGTCAGCGGGCCCTCGGGTCCATTTGGCCCTGGCTAATGTCCAGGACGTCTCGACGTGTCCCGGCCAACCCGACAAACTGCGAATCTCATGCACTAGTCCCACTTATTTACCCATTGCGGCATCCTGTGATTCTCGGGCGTTCTGTGATGATAGTTGAGCACCACGACCGTCAGTACCACGCTACTGGCCACCATGACCATGATGCAGTTGAAGTATGTCCCTGAATCGAGGATTTCGGAAAGAATCCCCCGGAGAAAGAGAAAAGAGAGGCGATTAGCGGGAGGAAGTGGCAACTTTCTCGGGGATGAACGTTTCAGAGGTTCCCCTCTCGATGGAAGATCACTTATCCGCCCCCTCGGGGTGGAGGCGCGCGACGTTAAATTCGGGGGCTGTTTGTCCTTTAATCCCGAGTTAAGTGATCTTCCATGCACGGAACCATTGCGAACGCTACGATGACGTCGAAGGGCCGGGTCTTGGGTCCCGTCAAAGGCGTAATCTTTGAAATTGCAGATTTTAAGGTGCAACCATTTAACATTGAACTCGCCGCCTCGGGGTGGAGTCCAATCCTCGGCCGCTTCGCGATGTCGCGCCAAACTCACGACCAAGCACTCGTTTGCATTCACACCAATGATTATGTTCGACTGAGACGTCAACCCAAGGGGATCGAACTGATTACTCGGATCGTTCCTTCTTTTTCGTCGTTTCCTTCTGGGAAAGGGAGTTCGGGGGGTCGGGGGGATCTGAGTTGCAAGAGACAGATGGAAGGCGCGCAACACACATGTTCAGAGAGAGAGACAGAGAGGGCAGAAAAACACACGTAGAACAGAGATGGGAGTAGAAATACAGAGAGACAGAGAAATAGTGACAAAGAGATATCCATTGAAAAGAAGCGTTGTAATACTTACTTGTGCGCTTGAGCATACACTTAGGTTAGATATGTATATATATATATAATACGTGACATGTACAACGCGATGCGGTCGCATGCACGGAGACCAAAGGTACGAAGGTACACCTGACACAATACTCTAATCTACCGTCAGATATCAACCGTACGGGGACAGGAGAGACGTTCGGTTGCGAAAGTGCATTTTGATAGCTTGCAGAGTTGTCGTTGTACGAAAGTCTCGCGCGGTGAACGGTCTACCCTTTTTACGAGAGCAGGGATTCTTTTTTTACCCCTCTTTCCCTTTTTTTTCTCGGGGAGCAACGAGTGCGGAGCTACCGGTACCTCCGTACTGAGCCGTACGATATTATCTACGGACACGTACGTGTACGCCGGTCGAGGCCGCTTAAGCTTAAGAGGTCGGATTTAAAGTCGAGATCGAAATGGCGATCGCGAACCGTGTCGGCCGTTTCGCGTGGGCTCGTGACATCGGATTTTTAAGGGTGCACGAATATCGCGCGAGGGGAGACTCTTTTTTGCCGAGATCGGAATAGCGCACAATCCCCGGGAATAGCCGAGTGTCCGCGATGCAGCTCGATTTTCCGAACTTCTCCCATTTAAGAACTCCGATGCAAACGCGCTGCACAGAGAGGAGCTAAAAAAAAGTCGAGACTAGGCGGGTTCCCGATTCGACGAGGCGTCGTGCTAGGATTTCAATTTATCGTCGTTTTTACTGACTCTTTCTAGTTACATCGTGCAGAGGGACGTCACTCGCGATGTCACGAGTTCGGGATCGCGAATTTTTTTCGCGGAACGCGATCGAAAAGGGAGTTTGTGTCTTGGGTGGTGGGTGGAGGGTGTCAGGCGTGGGCGGTGTAAGCGGTGACGGACTCATATATGCGTGTGTGTGAAGCCTCCTCTATCGTATTTTATCTTGCTTGTTTTTAGTCGGTCTGATTAAATCGGGAATGACAACTTTAAGATGCACTCCTTGTCCAGGGATTTAGAGGCGACGCGCGATTCGGCGAGGATAATTGTCCAGATAATTACTCGGTACTCTCGATGGAGTTAAAATTGGAGGCGATGGTTCAAGCCTCGCGAGAATTTTTCATCCGACAAATCGCACGTCGATCTTAACTGGCCATCGGCTCGAACGCGTTAAGCGGCGTCGTTACGTCGACGAGGAAATTTCGAAGTTTCCCTCGTCGGATACTCGACACCTCTTTGCTGGTTTTCTTTGCCGCCGACACGCCGCCGCAACTTGTAATTCTCATTCTCTCGCATCCTCCGCTTCAAGAAGTACTTTGAACGTTTTAACGGCCCTTGAGGACGCCTTCGCGACGACGCGAAGTATGAATTTGCATTGAGTAGGACTCGAGCGAGCGCACAAGGATCGCGATGAAGGAGAAAGCGAGAGTCGAGGGAAAACGAACACCGAGTGTTTCCGCGTCGACATCGGCGGGAAAAATGTCGCCATTTTGAGGGGGGCCACCGGCGAACGCCGTTTACTCTCGGCGGAACTTGAGAATTCTGAGAACCTCGAGGAATTCGTTTCTTTTCTTTGATTCCGTTCCATCTTGCGGCGATTTCTCAAGTTTTTAGACCCTCCAGGTCGTTTTATAGGATTTCCGGATCGGAGAGTTTCGTTTGGTGCGCCTCCTCCGGTCATTAGCGTCGGAACAATCGAATCGAAAGAGCGGCCATTCGATCGCCTGGCTAGTTTCGAGCCAATTCGACCGATCGACCGTTCGGTTCGTACCGATTACTCGTCCCGATCGTTTTGCCGAGTGGAACGGGCAGTGCCAGTGTTTGGGCGATTTCGCTGGAGGACCCCCCGTGGCCGATGAAAATCGAGCGGATAACGCGCGCGACCCGGGGACGAAAATGCACCGTGAGTCTCGTGGAAATGCAACTAAGTCCGCCTTTAAACTTTTAATCTCCTTCTACTGCTAGCTAAGCTAGGAAAGCACGAAATGTACGTCGGTGCAAAAAGTCGCCGGCTATTTCTCTCCCCTAAGGCCGCCACGCTGGAGAGATAGATCCAGTCGCGCCAGGACGAAGCCTTCTTGTCGACGGAACTATGTGCAATACATTAGCTAATGAGGAGCTTATAAAATGGCAACCGATTTGCATGACGACATACCGAGGACTAAGTATTCTCGAGGTCTGTACACCACACACGATCGGAAATGAACTCTCGCGGGAAAATCGTCTCTCGTATCGGCTGGCGCCGGTCGAGGAGGACGATACTTTCTAAAAAAATGAACTTCTATCGAAAAGGAACGAAATTAGTTGCTATCGCCTAGGCAGGTACAGGGTGACTTCCTCTCGGGGTTTCAAACTTCTCGTCGAGGGTGTCAATTTTAAATCCTTTTCTCTCAAGAATAAAGACGCGCGGAAAAGTCCTAGAAAATTTACTCCGATAAATAATCAGCGAATTACTCGAAAATAATTCATTTCAACCTTGCCTATTCTAAATTTGTTGCAGGAACGCAAGGGGAGGTACTTTTTAATTAGTCTCAGCCGATACCGAGGAGAGTTTACTGCACATTTCCGAAATGGGTAGCCTTTCTACCGTGACAACGGAATTTGCGTTTAGCATTACGTGGTAATTTTTTCCAGTATTCGTTCTCTTATTACCCGACGTAGAGAGGTCACCCTGTAGTCGTGCCGACTATTGCTCTGTCTGCAGCTGCGACTTAAGTTGAAGAACGTGCGCGGTGCAGTGAAATTAGCCGAGCAGAAAAAAATAAGCCCTTCAAAGTGAACGTCGACGCATCCGAGTAGAAGCGAAGTCGACGGTCGTTTTCGGCGAACCGACAACAATGATTCGCGCGCTCAATGACTCGAGGACCGCCTTGTGAAACAGTTGCAAAAAGATTTCATGATTTGTCCAAAATTCGCCGGACGAGATCAAGTGAAATTGAATCGCGGGCAAAAGCGGTCCTAGAACTTGAGCCTCTTTCGACGTGCACCGGGGCTCTAATTAATTTCGCCGTCGTACGGAGACGTCGGGAAACGGCATTAAAATTGTGAGAGAAAGAGAGAGAGAGAAAGAGAGAGAGAGAAGAGAGAGATCGCTGTGTACACACTTGTGTCCTCTTTACCTTGCTGCGTAGACAGCGCGACGTGAGGAGTACGCTCCGAGCCGCAAATTTAATCCCTTGTCGTATTCAAAAGATCATTTTTAAGTTGGATCGCGCGGCTGCCCGCGAGTCCGTCCTCGCCCTCGATTCGATCGGTCGAATCGTTATCACCTCTGATCATTTTCAGCCCGGGGGTGCAGAAACGAAAGGATCTCAGTGAACTTCCGCGTCGTGCGAATAGTCAACTGCAAATCGAAAAGAAGGAAGGAAAAAAAAACGGGAAAGCACTTCCAGCCGAGGAGTCGCGGGCAGGACGACGCGGCTCCAGTGGTATTAGTTGCTTTATTAGCGATCGTTTTGGCAATTAATAAATGGACGCTCGTGCGACCTGATCGACCTCGATTTTTGCAGGCCCCAATTTTCGGAGCTCTCAAATTCTTCCGATTCTTCTTTTCATCCCCTCGTCGACTAAACTCGATGACGGGGCGGTTACGAGCCGTCAAGTCGCACGAGCGTTAACGAATGATTAACGTGGAGTGATTAAGAGAGGAGGGAACGCTCCGAGGAGAGCGACGTGTACACGCGCGTGTGGGTGTATGCGTGTGATTGTGGTTTCCACGAGTCGTACGTACGGAAGGGAGGAGGGTGGAGGAGTGGAGGGCTGACACTTTACGGATGCTGTACGCAAGATGTCAACGCAAATGCAGATATATACATATAATATATATATGTACAGTGTACGTCAGGCGTGTATAAATATACAGAGGGACGTTTAACGGGGGCTGTGTCGGTGTCGTCTGAAAGGCACGTCGCACGTCGGCCGTGCGAGCGATCGAGCCCAAAGCATCCAGCATCTCGCGAGATGTGGATGTCAAAATACACGTAGCCGAGTCGACTGCGGACAAGACGAGAAATGTGCATGGGGTGAAAGGACCCGGTCGATGCACCTCGCGAATCGAAAATTTTCCCCAAATGAATTGTTAAATTAATTCCTCCAGTATCGAGAATTTTAGGAACTCGGACCTTTTGCGACATTTCGGAGACGAGACTCCCCAGGGTTTGGGGTTTCCCGCGTAGGCGACTATGCGCATTTAGAACCACCCCCGCGATTGCCATTCTGACTGGAGCTCGTTAATCCCGTTAATTAGTCGTCGCGTTAACGGCGCCGTATCATCGGCTCTCGAGGCGAAGTTACTTCGCGAAATGTCCCCGAGTATATATGTACGTATGTACGTGTTTACGTTGGGT